ATGGTGCAGCAATGAAGGAATGAAAACCCAAAATCCCTGTAAATGTTCATTAAAACTAATAAAATTTAATAAAATTTTAAAAAAAGTTTTGTTTGTTCTTTTGGCATTCCATGGGATTTTCACTACTTTTCTCTGGCAGCACAACTCAAAGCATCAGTTCTTCTATCATCTGTATTCACTGTCCAACTCTCATATGGATAGCAAGTAATTGAAAAGACCCTGACTTTAATCAGATGTTGTTGTTTGTTGTTGTTGTTATGTGCCATTGAGTCACTTGCGACTCACAGGGACCCTATGTACAAGAGCTCTAAATGCCATTATATCCTGTGCCAACCCCACTGCCTCAAACACACTCATTCCCACCACTCCACTCTCAGAATTGATTCATCTCCTCGAAGGTCTTCCTCTCCTGCACTGTCCCTCCACTCTGCCAACTTGATGTCCCTCTCCAAGGACCAGTCCTTCCTTGCAACATGCTCAAAGTATCTCAGATGAAGCTTCAGAATCCTTGACTCCAAAGGGCATTCCTGCTTCACCCTCTCCAGGACAAACCTGTTTGTTCTCCTAGCAGTCCATGGTATATTCAACACCCTTCTCCAGCACCACAGCTCAAAGACATCAATTCCCTTTCTATCATCCCTATTGACTGTCCAACTCTCTGATGCATAGCATGTAATTGGATCAGGCGCACTTTAGTATCCAGCCTGACGTCATTGCTCTTCAGTATTCTTGAGAGGTCCCTCACAGCTGATTTTCCCAATGCAATTTGTCTCTTGATTTCCTGGCTGCTATTACCAAGAGTGTTGACTGTGGAACCAAGTAAACTAAGACTGTTAACTATCTCAATCTCTTCACCATCCATATTGATGCTGCCAATTGGCCCAGTGGTGAGAATCTTTGTTTTCTTGATGTTGAGCTTCAAATCCTGATGGCTTGAGATTTAGGCCATCACATCAGGGACTGGTCAATGGGAGACGGGTGTTGAATGCAGTAGGTAAAATTAGGAAGGGATGGTGGTGTAGTAAGGAAAAAGGGTGGATAAAAACAACAACAGCAACAACAAAAAACAAACAAACAAACGAAAACCCATGTAGCAGGGTGGGCAGCAACATTGAATCTATTGGTCATTTTTATAACTGGCCAAATGTCTTTCATCTGCTGTTTTCTGTGGAATGCTTGTCTGTCAGAATCAGATGTACCTAATTCTTTAAACTGACATCATTGTTCCTTCACACTTTTCAGAGATCCTTGTTAGATTTTTTTAGGCCTACTGTATATCCTTAATTTCAAGAGGCTGAGATTTCTTAATCTCTGAGTATCCATTACCATCATTAGAGCATCATTTCATGATTGATAGAGAGGAAGAAAGTGGAAAATCTTACACTCTTATGACGTAATCAATGAATCTTTTACCGTCTCTTGAAAGCTTCTAAAAATTTTCATTGACTGTGATTACAGAGACCCTAATTAGAGGAGAGAGGATGGAGAGAAGAGACACAATACAGGCTCTTACCAAGTTTTAGACAGTAGAGGCAACTGGATAAGGATGTAAATAAAGGTCACATGGAAAATACTTTGGAGGTATAGAAACATAATGGAGTCTGTAAAATTGCATGGGAATGTCTATTTGTGCTTCATTGATTACTCAAAGGCATTTGACTGTGTGAATCACAACAAACTTTGGCTGACTCTGAGAAGAATAGGGATCCCAGATCATTTGATTGTGCTTATGGAAAACCTATAAGGAGATTGGACACATCCCTGGCATACACCCTTCCCAATTTCGAACAATGCAGAATTTCCTGGCTCTGTTCTGAAAACTGCCACCTGGTCCAAGTACAAGTTTTGCATAAGTCTGGAGAATAACGTTCACCTGATCCAGGCCATAGTCTTTGCAATTACTTGCTATGTGTTAGAGAGCTGTACAAATGAGTAGGAATAATAAAAGGAAAATTGATGTCTTTGAGCTATGGTCTTGGAGAAGGGTATTGAACATACCATGGACTGCTAGGAGAACAAATAGTTTCATTCTGGAGAGGGTTAAGCCGAACTGCTCCTTGGAGCCAGGGATTCTGAGGCTTCATCTGACATACTTTGGATATGTTGCAAGGAGAGACCAATCCTCGGAGAGGGACATAATGCTTGGAAGGGTGGAGGGACAGAGAAAGAGAGGAAGACCCTCGATGAGATGGATTGATTCAGTGACTGGGTAATGAGGGCAGGTGTGTCAGAGACCATAAAGTTGGCACAGGATAGAGCAGCTTTCATGGCTATTGTACATGTGGTCACTATGAGTCACAAGTGACTCAATGACACACAACAATAACAACAACTCTACACAAGTTAGTTTTGACAGACTACATGAGAAGGCAGTGTTGATCATTGAATTTAATTGAAAAGAAATCTATATACAGTTCAAAAAGGGCTGGGGAAAATTGGAGGGCTGTTGTTTGGCCATGGTTATCA